CTCTTGCAACCACTTTTCCATTTGTAATTTTGTATTATTTATCTTAAAGAGGGCCCCTGGAATTGTATAAGCTTCAGCTTGAATGCATCATGGATTTGCCCCATCTGTATCAACTCCATTTAACCACTGGTTAAAGGGATGGAAAGTGGGGTGCTGGACTTTGATATTTCTGAGCTGCAGCTGTGTTCAATGAGGTTAAGATTCTATGTATTGCCCTGGAGACAGTAGAAGTAGAGGGGGAGGGTAAGTCACTGCCATGGTCAAGTCCAAAATTGAAGAACTTCACTTTTCAATGAATAATTCTAGATTTAGCACTTTCCTAGATTTAGATGTGTCAAATCTGGAGGATATTCCAACTAGAAGAGTTAGAATTAGTGACCTTGAGCCAAGTCTTAATCCTGTCAGAAAATAAGACTGAGTGACTTGGAGAGTGGTAGATGACAAAGACAAGAAAGGCTCAAGGGTTTTTTAGTATGCTTGGCTGAACCTCAAAGTAGATGAACTTCCAGAAATGTTGAAAAAGTAACAGTCTGGAAATGATAGGGTTAACTAGCCTTATTTCCTTCATGCCAATTCCTACTTCAAGATTCAGGTATACAGCACCTAGTGCATACCGCTGTCATGGTACTCACTGTCACGACTAATTAGCTTGTTTGTTTCCCCCTGTGGAGTATGAACTTCTTGGAGGAACAAATGAGCAGAAGGTTTACTGGGTCTGTTTGCTTAAATAAATATAAGTTCTATGCAGGACGTCAATGTTTAATCATTTTATCCTAATTCCCATTATGTAGTAGACACTTTCTAGATGTTTGTTGCATTAAGAATGGAAAAATGAATGATAAAACATATTATTTCCAACAATGTTCCTAAAAGTACCACTTTCCTTTAATATCAATTTCTACCATTGGCTACTAACATTTCTTTCTCCAGAGTTAGCCCATCAAAATTTATGAGAATGTCCTGGAATTTTTTTTTTAAAAAAAGGAGATGCAGTGTTCCAGCTCACTTGGATTAATTTTGTTTTTAATCTGTGCTTTGAAATTTATTGTCCTCATTTTGACGATGGCCCTTCTAAATTTTTTACTGACTCAGATTAATCTCAACATTCTAGGTTGACCTTAATATTGTCACTTGCATGGATAGGGTAGCTTTCTGGAGGTCAATATTTCATTTTGGGAATAAGAAATAAGAATGATTTAGTATAGATAAATTCCATCTCATAGCAAAATAAATATTTTTATTTAAGGTCAATAATCCTTTTACACTGAAAGAGTTATGAATTTTTTGTTTGTTTGTTTGAATGCGACCTCTAATTCTTCAACCTTAAGACAGTTATTATAGACATGTTCCCACTCATGGGCCAAAATCAGTTTTTGTGGATGGCTTTAAACCATAATTTATTTTGGGAAAACAGATATTCCAAGCCCAAACCTTCTGTGATTTGGCTAAGTACTTGGCATGCATTCCTTTACCATAACTCAGATTTAGGAAGCAGAAACTAATATTGTTTGAGCATCCTCTGTGAATCAAACCCAGTGCTAATACCATTATAAGATAACATTACTACACCTAATTTATTCTCTTTAGTGATCTTATAATTTTAGGTGCCATTATTTCTGCTTCAAAAGTGAAGAAATGGAGACTTAAAGAAATTAAATAACCTGTCCACATGCAGCTAGTAAATGGCAGAGCCAGGATTCAAAACCCATTATTTTTGGGCTTCTATGGTGTTTCACTCTACCACACTGCTTTGGTGTTCCCATCTGCCACAAAAGGAAAGGAATTCATGTCAAATACTGGAAAGTAGTCCCAGTGTTTACATCTCCTCAGAAAAAAAGTCACATACGAATTCAAGATGTTTCCCACTTAAGGGATACTGCTTCAATGAAGCCTTCCTTACTCTGCTCCACAACCATCTTTTCCTTTTCAGAATTCCTACCAGGCTTCTGTTTATTTCACTCTGCTAGAACATTCTCTTTATTCTCTTATGTGTGCTTTGCTTTTCTTAAAAGCCCATCATTTTCCAAAAGCATTCTATGCTTCTTTTATGCCCATTATGGGGTTCAGCCCAAAACTAGGATCATAGCAGAACTGGAATCAATGTACAATCCATATTGAATTGAAAAGGATTCACATACAAAGCAAATATATTTTTAAAAAATTAAAATATTTACCCCATATTCATATGATCTTTTAAGTCCATATTAGTTTTGGTGGTGGTAAGAATTGCTATTCTCTTCAACTTTCGATAGCATTTTTCAAACAGTTTCCTTTCTTTCATTAAATCATTGGTTAACTCATTGAGAAGCACCAAGAACTGGAAAGTCAGGAAAGACTGGGTTTCAATGCCAGCATTGCTGGGTATCCTTGAGGAAGTTGTTTGGCCTCTCTGATCCGTGGTTTCTTTGGTTGTGGAATAACGATAATAACTCACTCACAGGGTTTAATATGATAATATGTGTTAAGTATCCAGAACAGTAATTGGCAACTAATTGGCACTTAGTAAATATATGTTCCCTCCCCTTCTGTTAGTATTATATGTTCTCTGTATCTGTTCTTACCTTTCCCACTTACATATGAGGGAAATTAGGAATCTGCAGGATACAACTAAAGTGTGAGCACATCACTCTTCCTCAGCAGGGTGCTTGATGTACACTCATGCTTTTTTCCCAACCGTCCCCACAGCTGTGCGTGCCCTTCATCTTGCTCCCCACTTCAGCTGCTGGAGTTTGTCATAGCCAAGCTCAAATGCTAAGGCTTCCTTTATTCTTCCAGCTGAAGCTCTACCTCTTCTGGCTTCCTCTCAGAGTGTGTTATCTCTGTTCAATGTCCCTCTCGGAACATTCATCACATCCTATAGCCGTAGATTTCACCATTGTCTCATTTCATCCAAGTACAAGTTCCGAGGCTTTTCCCCGCACACGTAAACTGCATTCTAGACTTCAAGGACCCCCTCCTTCTGTGTGGGGAGCACATGAATGTCTGACATCACTGTAAAGAAAAGTGTCTGCATGGGTCAGTGTTGAAAGTCTCAACAAGTCCTTGGGCCATGAGAAGGCATGCCTTCTTCTCGATGATCAACAGTCGCTATGTAAGGGACTCTTAAAGAAAAGCACTCATCAGACAGTGACGAGAAGGGACCCAGTGGATGGTCCTCAGTGCCTGCAATATAAGGCACCCTACAGGTTTTAAAGTGGCTTCCACCTTTTCCCTGTTGCTGGTGAAAAATGAGGTTAGGCTGACTCCATTCCCCTTCACATGTCCCATTGGGTCATATCACCAATTTCATGGCGACACCAAACTCACACGAGGATAAGCCACATATTCCCAGCCTGGGTGACCATCCTGTATCCATCATTCATGAGTTCTTTCTTCAGCTTTTTCCAGATCATCATTGCAGCATAAACTCAATTTTACTTCGCTCAGGGTCTCCTCTTTTGATTCTCAAGAAACTAGGCCAAGCATTTCTTTTTGCAAATCAAAAGCTTTTACTTTCCATTATGGTGTCTGATATAAGCTTCAAGAGCTTATTTTGAAGTAAAAAAAGAAAATTAACATTTTTTTCTTTCTCTCTGGTTTAAAAGTCCTGCTTCCCTGAGAATTATTTTGTAGATTCTTCTAAATGAAAAAGCGGTCACATACAAGGAAGAGCAGAAAGGAAAATTGCCAAGGTTGATATTTTAGTATAACATATTTGACATGACTTTATATTATAGATATTTGCATACATGGCATCTTTTCTAAAAATTGTAAACTCCTTAAAGTCACAGTTTTGATCTTGTCTCTCTGTATATCCTCTCAAAGTACCTAGCCTTTTGTCTTTCATACAGTAAGTAAATAGTAAATATTTTTTAAATTCAATTGTAAAAGCAAAATACATACTTTTTTGAAAACCCAAGGGCAAAAAGCCACATGAAAATAACTTGGGGCATAATAAATACAGAGACACTACAATGTGCTAATTGATCTGGACTTACAAAACAATGGTATTTTTTTAAATTAAAAACATACTAAGAATTGTACTAGCCTTGTGCAGAAGGCCACATTATAAAAAAGATTTTAGTGAGATAGGCAACACAATTTCAAAATGTTCTTTACATACCCTGCTGGAATTCTACATTCAATCTAAATCAATTATGACTCATTTAATTAATTGTGCCTGTGCAGCCAACTCAAAATCAAATTATTTATAAAAACCAAGCAATATTAGTTGGTTGAAGATATTGCAAATGAAATTTAAAAACTGCTCTGATTTTAGATGTAAAATAATTCACCCTTTCTTTCTTTTTTTTTTTTTCGATTGCTATTGTTTTTATTCAGGCGACAAAGGGGAAAAGGGCTTGCTTGGAATACCTGGAGGAAAAGGCAAAGCCGGTATGATATGCTCATTTTTCCTCTTTGATTTCTAGCATCATTCCAAATGTATCCATCTCAAAAATAAGTATGTTTTAGATAAAAACAAGAGTCCTTTCAGTGTGTTTAACCTTATTTCCCTTGGGCTAGAGGAAAGGAAAGAAGAGAACTTTCCTCTCTATCCACCGATGACTTTCCAAGCCCTGGGGAAGGGAATGACGGCACATTCCACCCCTGCCATGCTTACTGTTAGAAGCAAACACAACACATCAGGAAGCAGCCCTCATTCTCCTGGGCCAAGAGTAAAATCCAGCAATAGGACCTGCGTCAGCATGCCATGCCTCACATTCCACTAGCATCTCAACCAAATAATGGTCAGCCAGTAGCAACCTGGCCTGACCCAAATAGACCCCCTGGTTATAGGACATGCTTTCTATGGCCAGGGAGATTCTCCCAGAACATTATAAAAGAGTTTTATTTTCAGCACTTTCTGCAGGGAGAGGAGGTAGATTGTTCTTGAGTAATTTCAATTGTTTCTATCCACAGGAGTGTAGTGAAGACAAATTCTGAGAACTGCTTTACATTCCTTATATTTAACTGTGAATATGGATAAATAAAGCCATATATTTCCCTCTGGCTAATAAAGTTATTTTTAATTTTCACACTGTTAAAGAAAAAAATCAAATGAAAATGTTGATATGAATGGCCATTACATAGAAAAAGGGAATCATTTGAATTTCACATCATTTTCTTTATATTTCCTGCTCTATACAACAATATTTGTAGGTAGTTGAAAGGGTAGGTGATCAAAGAAGAATGAATTACAAAATCATAGTTAATCCACAAACTGAACAACTGGCTCTTAAAATTGTAAATTGGATCTGTTTCCAGGATTTAATCCTAGTCCTTGAAACACACAACTATACTTTAAATGAATAATCAGAATTAACATTTAATTTAATCATTAAAATTTTCTTCTGTCTTGGGAGAGTTATGTGAGCCAGTGAATAATGCAGAAACAGCAGAGAGGAATGGCTGGAAATATGTTTTAAGAAAGCTGTAAAAATTTTAGTCTGAGATTGGGCAGACCCATTCTGTGTTCAAACAAAAATGCCAAATGGTCCAATGTGTGTGCAGTGGTTTGTCATATTTATTCTTCTTTTTAAAAATATAGTTTAGAATTGTTTTTTAACCCATTCAAAACATTTAAAAATATATTTTCTGGATTTCTAAAAATAATTTAAATTGGAAGCCTTGTTTTAAGTAAAAGGTTTAAAGTATACTCATTGACAGAGAGATAGAGCCAGACTAGAAAAAGATAATAAATATTGGAAAGAGAGCAATGTTCCTTTCAACCGGTCTGCATGTGCTTCAACATGACTTCACAGTTTTTGTCATTTAAAAGGCACTGTCTGTGATTGTGGAAGATATCGGAAAGTTGTTGGACAACTGGATATTAGTGTTTCTCGTCTCAAGACATCCATGAAGTTCGTCAAGAATGGTGAGCATATTCTCTTTTGCTTTGTGCTATATATCGATTGATTAGTCTCTTTCAACACTGTAATTTCAATACTCCTAGCAGGAAATACGTTGTGTTGGGCAAAGGTCCATTAATGTGGTGTCTCCAGTTTAAAAGTCTCTCAAAATGCTAATTATCCAACAGACTACAGGACACTTCAAGTCCACTATACATATATTCACACATATGTGCATTGCTTATGGGTAGAAAAGGTATTTTCCTAAGAAAGAGGAATGGAGAAAAGGGCAGAGTTTTGTAACATGTGCCTTAAAAATAAAAAGAGACAGCAAGAGTCAAACAGAAGTAGCATTTCAGACAATAGAATTAATAATAACAACAACTGCTACTTTCTTGAGTATGTGGAATAGTGCATAACTACTAGTATTACCTCCATGAGTTTTCATAATAATGGTTATGATGTAGATACTATGATTAAACTGAAGCTTACAGAGAGGACCTTGCCCATAGATACAAACCTAATGAGCACTGGAGCAGGGATTTGAATACAGGTTTCTCTGACTCCTCTACTCACAGGACAAACCAGTATGAACGTTACGTGTTTCTGTAAGTTTTGCAGTTTCCCATATTGGTCATTTTTGTCCATTTCCCCATGATAGTTATCAGTAAAAGCCCTTAAAATAGGAAGAGCTTATGTATTATCTTCTGAGACAGTATTAATAAGGGAACTATTGTAGTTACTGTTACAATTGGTTTCATTTTGCTATATTTTCATGTATTGCAGTCCAGCTGTATTTGTTGTACATTGTTGGAAGCCCATAGATGTCATCTTGTGTTCATCCTCATCTTGTAATACTAGAGGCAAAGAAAATGCTTGATGTTAACTAACCACCCTAATTATTATATAACCCTGTTATAACCCACACTGAAGATTCTGTCCCTAATATGACTTTGACTGTCATGAATAAACCAGACCACAAATGTAGAACATAGAGCAATAGTTCCTAACATTTTAGTGGTCATAGGCTTCTTTGTGAGTTTAAGTTATGGGCCCCAAAATGCATATATATTTATGGCCCAAAACATACATGGCATGTTATGAGCTCAGGGTGATTTTGAGTCCCCAGTTCTGTCCTGAAGCTTACTCAGTAGCTCATTCTCCCTCTTGTACCTGGCATGAAGTATGGACAATCTCAATCCATGTACATGTTCAAAGCCCAGGAATTTGGCCCCAAATGGGCAAACCTCTATATTGTTCCTACGCCATTTCAATTAGCATTTACCATCCCCTGAAATATTTCAGGCACTGAGCCTAAAGAGCATCAAAGACATGATCATTGTCCTCAAGACATTCACAGTTGAGTTGGAGAGACACACAAGCAAACAATTAGACTAGAATGTGTTGAATGCTATAAAGGAAAAAGTGGAAGGGGCAATGGAAACACAGGAAACAGCACACAAGAACTGTCATGTCTGTCCAGGGGCATTGGAAAGACTTCTTATAGGAGAAAGAATTTCCATGGAGAGCTAAAGGACGAGTAGGATTTTGCCAGGCAGAGAAGCAGTGGTAAGACTTCCCAGGCATGAAAGGTGTGGAAACAATAGAGAGAAGAGCATTCTCATGGGACTACAAGTGTGGCTAAAACACAAACTATGTTGGGAAAAGTAGCATAAGATGTTCTGTATGGCCATTCATGTAACAAGTCTTTGTCAACATGCTCCCTGCTGGACAGCTGTGGGACATTGAGGAAGAAGAAAGCAGAGGACAAGTAGTAGAAGTTAGTTCTCCATTTGATAACTAGAAAGGGGAAGAAAAAATTAAACCAGTGACTACCTTATAATAGGGCCTTGCAAAATAATTCTCTAACATCAAGTAAATGAATTTAAATCTGGCAATATTATATGCTTGCCTTTCTCTTGTTGAGATACATAATGATACTCTTCTTTTCCTCCTTGCAAAGTCATAGCAGGGATTAGAGAAACTGAAGAGAAGTTCTACTACATTGTGCAGGAGGAGAAGAACTACCGGGAATCTCTGACCCACTGCAGGATTCGGGGTGGAATGCTGGCCATGCCCAAGGATGAAGCTGCCAACACACTCATTGCCGACTATGTGGCCAAGAGTGGCTTCTTCCGGGTGTTCATTGGGGTGAATGACCTGGAAAGGGAGGGACAGTATGTGTTCACAGACAACACTCCACTGCAGAACTACAGCAACTGGAATGAGGGAGAACCCAGCGACCCCTACGGTCATGAGGACTGTGTAGAAATGCTGAGCTCTGGCAGATGGAATGACACAGAGTGCCATCTTACCATGTACTTTGTCTGTGAGTTTGTTAAGAAGAAAAAGTAATTTCCCTCCTGCTATGCATTTATTTCCCTGTGGCTACCATTATAGTTGTTTGTATCCATCCTTTTCTTCCTAATTACACTAAATTTGTTCTGACTCAAGACAAGTAGGAAATGCTAGACTGAGGTCTGGAATCTCTATCACCTTGCTCTTTTGTGATGATTTTGACATTTTCATACATGGTATATTATTGACCCAATAGCTCACCAGGTTACATGAATCCCCAGATAGAGTTTGAATCACTCCTTATGCAGGAGGTGGTTGTCTATGTCTCAAAGGAAATGTTCCCTTGGCATTTGCTCTGCCACCTCTCCCTAGAGGCCTAAACCACTAGGGAGAGTGTATAATTGCACAATTGGTTGATGACGATTAGGTTGGTTGGTGAAGATTAGGCTAACCTGCCCCTGCCCAAAGCCAAGCATATATAAGAGGGCCTTCTGTGGATAATATCAAGATTTTTGAACCCAAGATAACCAGTTCTTTAATCAGTCACCCACCATGGCCATAGCCATACTTGTAAGTTCTCCTTGCTTGCACAAACACGGAAATGCTTTAACCCCACACCTCTGTCTGAGGAACTTCTAGCCTTGTGTCCTGTTTCAGACAATGTGGAATCATCGGGACTCCTTCTGTGCTTCTGATCGACAGCCTTCACTAAAGTATAATAAGCGGGTCTTATAACCCTTTCTGTAGGCCCAAACCTTAATGTCAGGCCCCTAGATATTAACAGTCCAATTTAAGGAAAAGGGAACTCTAGAAATCAAAAGAAAAAAAAGAGGGAATTTGTTTCCACACAATATTATAATATTTATAGTCCTCCTGCTAAATTGTCCCCTGCTATTAACATGACTCCATTTTTCTTTGATTTAGGTTTACCTATATCAACTTTCCTCCCCTTAGGCATTGGGAATGAGGGAAGATCTTTATGAAGCCTTCAGAAAACCCTAGAAGCTTCGAGGTGTTGCCAACACCAAGTCTCCAGGTCCCTTTCTCCTTGCCTTTAATATATCACTCATGGTGAAACTTCACTGGAGGCCTTTTACTCACTGTAAATTTATGTGGTAAAAACCCATACTGGAAATATCCTTTCTAATACTCTGACGTTACAGAAATGAGTCAGGCACGGAATTTGGAACATGCCTAGAACTCACATTTATTGAGCTGGTAAAATTCTACCTTGAACTGCAAGTCAAACCTCAGAACAGCTTTCACTTGGAACTTTAAAAATAAGCAATTCAAAGAAACTGTAGATTATCACCTTATAAACTGCTGCTCCAGATATGGTTTGTGACATATGACTAGACTGTTTAAAATGCTGGCAAATGGTTAATGAAACAAGAGAAACTGATCAACAACATATGTTCACCTTAAACCATCTGTCCATGATTTCACCCATGACTAACTGGTTATGAGGTAGGATTTAATTAGGCTATTTCTGTGTGCTCAACAAGGGTCACAAATTCAGATCTTACAGGGACCAGACAAATGACATAAATAAATGAAGTGGAACAGGTGGGGACCCTTACTACACTGAACACAGCTTGCCCTTCTAAAAGAGCCAGCTGCTCCTCAGTGGCTGCTGCTGTTACCATGGAGGACCCAATCTTGCTACAGGTTTTGATATTTCAAGAGAAATCAGAAAGCTGGAACTTTGTAAAATATCTTCCTACTTTTATATGTTGGCAACTAATTAATTTTTAACCCAGATTTTAAGTCATACAAAAGACTTCCAGCCAAAAATATGATCATTCCATTTCTCACCTCTGGAGAAAAGTTCTGAAGGTTCTAAACATATAGAATATCATTAGGATATGATGACATTCATGTCAAGGTGTCCCATTAATACCGTATTCAGTTCAGCTCAATAATAGGAATTTGTTAAATGTTTAACATTTATCAGGTTATTAAACTAGTTACTTAGACTCTTTTGAGAAAGTAGCATAGGATATTTTGAAGGCAAGGAATCTTGTAATAAAAATTACAAAGCAGGACATCATATCAAAGCCAGTATCCTTGGGTAAAATGCCAGCCAAGATCATAAAAAAAAAGAACCTAGAAATACGTGCAGGAAAAGAAAGGGATAAGAAGCGAGAAAGGAAGAAAAGCACAACAAACATTGCTTAGGGGAAGCTCCTCTTGGGATCCATGTTCTGATTCCTTCTAAGCCTCCAAAGTATGAGTATGTATTGTGTGTACTTTAAGTGCTATTATTATTTGCTATGAATGTTATAATAATAGCAACAGTTCTCTCAATGACTCATCTTTGCTATTATACTTTCAAGAGAAGATAACAGAGCTTTAAAGAATAGAATGTATCCTGCAACCTTGCCTGGAAGAAATTTTGAAGGCACCACACACTTAGTTAGAATTACTGTGAAAACTCTTATTTGTGATGCACTCTGTGCTTTGTAAAATGCCTTTGCATATCATTTCTCATTTGATAAACTGTGGAGTACAAAGAGCAGACATTTTCACTGCCATTTTCCCAATGATAATACTGAGGCCCAAGGAAGCTAAGCAATTTACCAGACAGACTCAGCTCATTTGAAAGAAAAGCAGGCCCCCAGCCTGCTGATTGAGACTGCCAATCCACTGTCCTCTCCAGCCTCTGCCCATTGCTCTGACATGGAATGGAAGTTCATCCAAAATGGCCTTGTGATAGCAGGGGCTCAAATAATTTCTATTACATTCCAAAGTCAAAGATGAGGATTAATTTACAGAGATGCTAAGGATTCAGAAACTGGGCTTTCAAATTTTATGTTCACTGGTTTATTTTTTAATTCACAAATGTCTACATATGGCCTTAGTTTTGTGGAAGTGACTTAGCACACCCTCAGTACAACTTTGCTGGTAACTACAGATACAGGGAAATCAAATCAGATATATGAAAATAAACATTTGATCAAAATATTATAAAAATGAGCAGGTAATTATTTCCCCCATAAAAGAATTCACTAGAAAAGTGAGTCATTGAACAAACACAGTAGAAAGTTGTATACCTTTGTTATAGAGAGATATAACAAACATTGATTGCACTTTGTAAGACTTACCCATAAAAACTGCCAGCATTAAAAAATGCATTTTGTCCTGTTTATATCTGTGTGACTCAAATATAGGTTGTTCTGAATGTCATTAATCAAGTAATTTCTAGTTCTCTGGATTGCATACTTAGTGGCAACTAGATATCTGTGGTAGAGGAAAAATAAACCAAACAGCATCACTCACAGCATCATCAAAACATTGAGACTAAATTTTTGTAGGTATTAATCAATGATAGGAAAATGCTGGTGTGATTCCATGTGGGAGTAGCACCAGTTTGACTGCACCACTTAGAAATTAAAAATCTAGATACAGTGTCATGACAGCCTGAATACCATGCCAACTGTGCCTCTTACTAGCCATTAGGGGAATATCGTAAGTGCTCTAAACCTTGTTTTATTAATCTATATTGCCTTCCCACACAGTGTTGTGACAAATAAAGGAGGTAATGTTATGAGGTATTTAGCAGAGTACCAGCTAGACATATAGGTGTGCAATAAAACTTAGTCTTTGCCACCAGCTACATGTACAACCAGCTACATGTTGAAAAGAAACAAACCGTATTTTCCAAATGTATATAAAAAAATCACTTATGTGAATATATATCACATGTATACTACATATATACAGCACAAATACTATACATATAGCATATATATGTATATACTGAATGTATGTGTGTATGTATACACAGCAAGGTAAATCAGTTTATCCTTATTTATGGATAAAATTTTTATTTTCAGGGAGGTGAATAAGTTTGCAGAAGTTACACTGCTTGTTAGAATTAGAGCTGAGGTTCATAACTGAATATGATTGATTATAAAACCACCTATACTTTTTTTTAGGATGCAGTTCATCTGAACCTATGGTTATCACATTAAAATTAACTATTTTTTAAACTTAAAAATTTGTATTGCCTCAAGGTTATAAGACTTTGATAATATAGCTAAGTCCTTTAAAATTTGAGGGGGAAAAAATCTGCCATATTCTTTCAAATAGGATTGAAGGAAAGGAATCATTTGCCACAGATATTGTACACATGAATCTTTTTATAAATATAGGACTTCATTTTAATGTCCCCCAACACATGGTCATGCAGTCTGTATTTGAACATTTTTGGTAATTTGATAAGCCTATTAGAAAGTTTTTCTTTACAATGATCTAAAATACACTTTTCTCTAATTTCTGCACATTGTCCTTGCCCTGCCTTCTGCTGTTTATAACTCTGAAAGATCTGACACTGGGACAAGCAGCAATAAGCAGGCTTTTAAAGAAAGGGAAAAAAAGAAATGAAAAGAATTGTCTTCACTATGGATGCCAAGGTGGATACCTAGTACTATACATTTTTCAAAACCAAGATGCTCCGTATCCAATGAATTCAGATTTTGTTGGTGAGACATGAGGCAGAGATGTACAGTATGAATGGTATTCAGAGTTAAATGGGACATCTCAAACATAAATAATCTATTTATTAGGAAGGGGTACATGGTATACAGAGTTCAACCCTCAGAGGAGGCTGTTAGGTAGTAGATGATTGGAAAGGTCCCACAGAGAGGGTTCAGGGCTGGTGTCCAATGCCAGTGGGAAAATAGAGTCAAAATCAGAGTCCACATGCATGAAGTCTGCATGGTGAACAATTAGGAAAGATATTGCTTAGGTGAACGGTAGAGATCATTAACTCATTAATTCATCAAAAATGTTTATGGAATATCTAACATGTTTTAGGGGGTGCCATGCTAAGTTTAGGCTGGAGACACAATGGAGAAGAAGACGGATCAGATTTCCAGCTTTATAGGTAGGATTCCTATCACACTCATTGGATATCAAGTGTACAGTGTTGAGGCTCAAGATTAATTCCATTGTCAGCATTGTAGAAATCTATCCTATTTTTACATCTATGGTGTATCTTCAAAGATACATGGGAATGAATTGGCCAAAAGAATTTTTGTAGAACTACATCACCCTTTCGTGAAGAATGACATTGACATATGTGTTCAAATACATATGCCCTTTTTGGCTTAGTCATTGGATGTGGACAAGAAGTTCTCATGTCAATGTAAATACTTACCCATACCATTTC